ATAGCATATCACGAGAACAGAGTTTATGAATTTCCATTTTCTGGATATTATTGTGAATATCCTCACATGGCTTGGCTTGAAAAAGCAGCTCTGCTCGCCAGCATACAGTCTTATACTGATTTCCTGATTTATTTTGAACAAGGGGACGAGGGGGGAGCCCACATCTTTCCAGTCATTCCAAAATTCTGAGCCTGTCACCATGGCAGGAGTCTCGGCTTGCCCGTTGCATCGCCCACACAGGAAAAAGTGAAATAAAAGAACAGGGAGATGAGGTTCCTATGTGTGCATAATCACTGACAGCTGTTGAGTCATACAACTTTTAATTTTCACATCTATAAAAAAAATTTTTGCTCCATTGTTGGAATTTTTGAGAGCTCTATAAATGCAGAAATCACCCAAATAATTCTATACATGGTGATCTTAAGTAAAATCCAATGCAGGACTTTTAATGGACTATGTTTACAGTGCAGTACTGCTATTTTTAGTTAAGCAGAACATCTAAAATCTTCTTCCACCTCTGACATGAAGAACTAAAACCAAATCAAGAGTAAGGATAATTGTAAACAACCTAAATAAATCCCACAGACTGAGGGAAAGCCACAGGATGTCTCCACAGCCAGCGCCGTTTGGCCTCTCCACCCTAATTTACTACGCTCCGCCCACTCAGGCCTGCAGGGCTGTGGAGCTGGCTGATCTTCCAGCAGGGCCGGGCCAGCCCATACGTCCCACTGGCACGGGACGCCCCGCCGAGAGCCAATCACCAAGCCCGCACTCCTGACAGCTCATTACCACTCAATTAGGCAGGTGCACCTCCACGCACAGCCTTCTGACAAATACAGCCCTCCCAGATGCATGTTTAACATTCGAGAGAATTATATAGTGACAGCAAACACTAAACGCCTCACCCTTATCACTTGATTGCCTCAAGATTTAAATCCTATAATTGGCCCAGGCCAGCGGGAGAAAAAAAATAAATAAGCCAATAAATATGATGCAGTCGGCTTGTAATTGAACAATTATGAATTCATATTCATAAGATGCTTGCTGGCAATTACAAAATGCCATCTGATTAGGCACAATTTGAAATGACATTGTTCCGTGCTAAAGACACTGTGGTGTCAGCCTAATAAAGAGAAGACACATCATAGCAGTTGCTCGCCCACCGACATGACCTCCAGAGACGGTAGACATGCTGACACAGTGGCTTGGCCGGTGACGGACGGGACTTGGCACCCATCGCTCTTTGTCCCCTAAACCTACTGCTCACACTCACTCACACGGAAAAATAACACCACCAAGGGTTGACTTTCAAATTTTAACACCAGTGGGCACAGATTGTGCACATAACAAAACACAAGCAAGGCGAAAAAATGTTGATCCCTTGAGAACAGATTCTAATCAAGATGAAATGATTTACAAATCTATTTAATAAGGCTTGCCAGAAGTCAAACTTGGCATGTAAATGCGGTGGGGATTAAATTTCATCGGCAACCAAGACTGTAACTGATCGCCTGCAGACAAAGGGGGAGCCTGCCAGTTTTTTTCTCCCCCCCCACTCTCCACTTCTCTTCCCTCCCTCCTCTTTCTCTCCACTGCCTGCATTTTGCCTCGTGATCCCTCCCTGGCTATGTGGAAGGACAGGGGCAGTGCAGAGTGGTGCAGTACAGAGTGGAGAGGAAAGAGAGAAAACACAGAAAAGGAGAGGGAGGATATGTAGACAGAGGACAGAAGGAATATTGGAGATAAAGAACAGTAGTGAGAGGGAGAGCAGAAGGAGAGAGGAGGATAGAAAAGAAGGATGGAGGGGAGAGGAAGCTCAAGGTCAGCGTGAGGACAGTGTGGTCCTCTGCGTTGGACAGAGACACAGCCGCAGTCACCTCTGTGCTAATCAGCCCTTCGGCTGGCTGATGAGATGTCAGTTAGTTGTGTGTGTGGAAAACCTCTCCCTTCGCCTTTTTGGCTGCAAATTGCAGGGGCTGTTGGGGAGGAGTAACAATGTGTGTGTATATGTGTGTGTATGTGTGCCACTCTGGAGTGTAAGCAGGCTGACGTGCTGCTTGTGGTGCCAGTATTGCGCTTTTCCCCCCCTGCTTTTGCCCTCCCCTTCGCCTCCTTTTCGTGCATATTATGCTACGGTGACTGAAGCTGAACTCAGCTTTCCCCTGCAGTGAGGGCAAGAATACAACTGCCAATTAATGCTATATGCAGTATGCCAGTGTTAACAGTGTGAGGCATTCTACTTCAAGTTGCTACGCTGTTTGAAAGAAAAAAAAAAAGGTGGGCTAGCTGTTTTCCTCGGGCGTGGCTAACCTCTTGCAGGCTAACGGGGATTGCGCCATTAGCTTAGGGCGTAAACGAACAGCATCCACAGCTGTGATCAGGTTTGTGACCTAACAGCACTGCAGCTTGTGTCTCATTGGGTGAGTTTTGTGTATCAGGCCAGTTGGCAGAGGCGAGTGTCTCCTCCGTCTATCCTTGGGTTATTTCTGACCATCTGTGCCCAGTCATTAACAGGCCTTTTCACAGTCAATTGTCTTGTTCGTCTCCCCTCTTCTTCATTTATGTTACTTGCTCTGTGCACGACCATGAGATGGATCAAGTGCTTCTTCTTTTTTTTCCCTGAATGTAAATGGCATAAGTAAGGAGAGGCTACTTTATTAGCCGGGGCTAAGGAGAGCTGTGGAGCCATAGGTTAATTCAAAGTGGCATCATGGAGGATGCATCAAGCAGTGGAGATCAAATTACAGGGCAAAGCGCTCAGTGGTAAGAAAAACAAGCCAGTGGTATGCTGCAGAATGTGTGCGTGCATGCTGTGTGTGTTTAGCAGCAAGTGTATGTGTGTCTGTGAGACTGGGGAAAGAGAGAGGAGGGGAGGCAAAGGAGACAGCAAAAGGAGAGGAGAAAGGGGGGGGGTCCATGGAGGGCCAAGGGGGATGGGGATGGAAGGAAAGAGGGAGTGAAGGAAAAGAGGGGGGAGAGAGGCTAACTGGGCCAGCACACACACATCACCCCCACCAATTAGAGTCACTCATCTCCCCTTCACACAATACATCACCCTCCATTTCTGATGTTTACAATCGTCGGGGAAAGAAATAACTGTAAACATCACTGCAGCAGCGATGGCATTCAACAAAAAAAAAAAAAAAAAAGATATCCTCTGCCTGAAATGCGTTTAGCCATTCCTTCTTCCCCCTCACGCCTTTGTTATTGGTCTTTGTGCAATGATTTGCCTAAGGACCCAGATTTCCTAGCAACAGCCTGCCACCAAACATTTGGCAGGAGTTCAACATTCTCTCTCTTTGTGAGAAATGGCAGTGCTGCCTCCCTGCTCTGCGTCTGCCACCAGCCCTGCTGCTGCTGCCGCCGCCGCTGCTGCTGGATGAGCCAGACTGGCTGCAAGAGCCCTCTAATAATTCTGTTTTCATCCAATCACACCACATAGTAGCAGGCACCTTGAGAGCCTCTGCCAGGAATCATCAATCACCTCTTTAACACACATGCTCCAACAAACACGGACGCACGTGCGAGCAAATAACATGCTAACATACACACAAGCGCGCTTTTCTTTCGGTAATTACATTTACAGATTAGAGTGTCTCGACTCTGTGTATACCGCCCAGCAGTCGTTTAATGAAAATCAACAAAGCACATTAATACGCAGCAGAGGTTTGTACAGTGAGAGAGAAAGAGAGGGAGAAAATGTACAATCTGGCTGTAAATTGGGTAAATACATCTGAGTGCTCTCGACAAGGTTAATGGAGAGAGGAGGCCTTAGTGAACACCGGTCTAGACACGCCACACAGTATTAAGTGGGAATAGCTGTGGCAGTGTATCTGGCTAAGTACTTTAGAAGTGCGAATGGGACTCTAATAAAGCGAATGATCCCCCTGTTTTGACAAAGAGGCCCAGGAGGGACGCTGGAAACGACGTTTGAGATTCCAAGCACTGACAAACACCCATTTGTGGCCCTTCTATCCCCCCTCAAATCCCACGGAAGCTTTTCCCTGCGCACAAGACTGTCGGATGTGGGCACAACCCAACTGCCAATTTGCAGAGGATGTGCCGTGTTTGCTAATGCGAAGCAGAGGCTAAAAATGAGACCACACAAACTCTGGAGGATGGACTGACTGATCTGCTTTCTGGCACAAGCACTTTTTTTTTTTTTGCTTTGGGTGTTTGTTTCTGCGACGGCGCGGCTAATTATGAAACCTCTGTCATTATTTGACTACAGTACACTTATGTTTAGAGGGCTTGTGGGCAACAGGGGAAGCATTGTGAATTTCACTTGGGACAGTATTCCAAGGGGTATGTTGATGGCTAGGCTATAATTCTGATTTATGCCGATAATGAACTGCTTAAAGACGTGGAATGCAGTGCAATTTCAGGGCTATCATCTTGACTCGAGATCAGAGAAAATGTTGATCTGCAAGAATTAAATGTAATCCCAAACAGTGAAACATGAGCATGGCAGGCCATCCTACTCTAGAAGCTGTAAGTGAAGACATTACCTCAGTGGTGCAGCTTGAGTGTGTGTGAATGTCTAAGGGCACATCTGTCCTCCTCAATCTGTGTCTGTGTCTGTGTGTGTGTGTGTGTGTGTGTGTGTGTGTGTGTGTGTGTGTGTGTGTGTTTTGTCTGTAAGGGGAAGATTGTGTAGGAGGGGGTAAAGCAGAATGAACTTGAATAATCAATTTTCACACTTTCACAGCACCTGTTGGCTTGTCTTCACGTTAGAAGAAATGAATGAATGCATTACATGTAGAACAATTTCACACTGTGCTGCAGCTTCGCGCACAAAGACGAGGGTAAAATAGAGAGAATGGAGCTGTATTGTCTCAATAGGTAACATAGCTCATTTCACACGACAAAGGATGAATAGTTATATTGACAATGCAGAAGGCACGCTGAGGCATTTCCTGAATAAAGCCTCTTAACATTTTGTCCTCTTCTGGCAATAGAGTTGGGGAACAGTCATTTTGAATGTAGAGGGTCTCACTTACCGCAATATAATAGACCTTGGCTTTCTCCACCAGCTCCCAGTTGCTGTCCAAGTCCAGGTGTTTTTCCTTTTTGTAGCAGTTTGCCGCTGCCAGGTTAGCAACAAGGGACCTGCCGAGACAGACCCCATAAATCTTCTGCCTCGCTTATCATCCATCTTAATTTTGTCTCAAAAACATCCCTAAAAACACTCGGGCCCCAGACTTTCCTTTGTTCTTTCATGATATAAAAAGGATGATAATGCTTTCTTAGAATGTCTGAACCAAAGTAAAGTCTTTATTTTTTTCCCTTTCAAAAAAAAAAAGGTCTCTAACACCCAAAAAGGAGGGATCAAAATAAGCAGCTGACTTTCAAAGGCAACAATGAACCACCTCCAAATTATTCATATTATCATATCACCTGGAAATGTGGCCCACTGTTAACAAAAGGTGGAAAAACAACAGAAATGCATTACTAAATGAACACTTGAGTTGAGTAGTGAGTGGTGGGAGCTGGAAAGTGAAGCAGGTGGCATTATCTTAACATAGCTCATTAGCTAGTCCTCGTGCGCCGTCGCTTTATGAGCGGCCATCAAAATGAGTGCAACCATCATTGCTACTTAGGGGGAAAACTGTTTGGCGACCATATGACAGGAGGCTGCTGCTATAGGAAGAGGTCCGTTCATGCAAGTTGAGAAGAAAGCGCTCACACACAGTTCGCACGGCGGACGGCGTCAGGCATCGTGTAACTATGGTGATTCGGACTTGGTTTGCCTACGGGCTGGTCCTCTCAGGCTGACATAATCATCAAGTTGACAATTTAATTAAAACACTGAAGTACTTCTAATAAACACATAAAACTAACCATTTGGTTTATGGAGCTTGTAGGCAGTGCTAAATGGTTTGGTAGGAAACACTAAGGTCACCTTAAAGACTCAGTTCTGGGGATACAAGTTACAGAGGCCGATTTAACGTCACATAGCTAACTGCACAGGCTAGCAACAACTCTTACTCTAATTGGAAGTCATTACATATTGGGATTATCATTAAGTTCTTTAAAAAAATTAATTTTTTCGCAAAAAGATAAATTTGTGAAAAAGCTGATGCAAAATAAGTGTTTTTGGGCTCCAATTATGACACAAAAGCTCTCAGATCCTCAAGGAGAGGACTGATTGAACCATTGATTATGGAATAAACGTATTTCCTAACGCTTACAATGTGACATCTTCACCGTCTGCAGCTCAAATTGTCAGATTGAGTAAGGGAGGTAGATTTTTTTTTTTCTTTGAAGACCTGCACTAATCAAAGCCTGGGGGCTGTGACATACTGGCTCCCAGTCCTTCAAAGCCATCTTCCTTCCAATCTGGCCCTGCCGGCGACCTTTCCTCTGGCCTCCTGAGCTGTCTGTTAAACACCTGTAAGAAATATTACAGGGCTCGTCTCCCTGAGCACGGCACCTGACCTTTTCAGGTGTCAGAGCCCACATCAAACAAGCCCACTAAGACCATTCAACAGGGCCAGTTCCCGGGGCGGTTGAGGTCCAGCCGTTGACTGACTGACAACTCCAGTAGCAGCAGATGAAGGGCTGCAGAGGAGGGGAGTGTTTAGAAAAGGAGGTTATTGATCCACACTTGGTCTATCATGAACTGGAGCCCTCGCTGTTAGTGATATGTATGTGTGTGTGCAGACTTTGACCTCTGCTGTCTCAAACGTGCTGATGATGATGCTAGCGTGAGAGTCGCCAGAGACGCTAAAGCCCCTTTTACAGCCGAGAAGGCTGACAGGTGAGAGCTGGGATAGCCCAGCCATCTCTAACACATTGCTACTGTCAGCCTATAGATGGATGACAACCCACTGGGGCGGTAGAGACTGAGTGGGGGCCTGGAAAAAACACACTCAAGCTGTTCTTTTTCCTTTTGATGTGTGAGCCGAGCTATGATTCCCTGTTATGACTTCCAGCCCCGAGGAGTCAACTGCCTGCCTGAGGATGTGAAAATGAACCAAAAGGACTATTTCAAATCCGAAGTAGAGGGTCATTTCTTGGTCAAGGGTGACTGAGAGGTGGCTAACCTATTGTCCCCGGTGATACAGGCTGCACAGGTACCGGTCGGCTCCTCGTTTTGCTCGTAGTAATGTGCGTCGACGTGGGCTTCTTCGGCCTTCTTCTTAAGGATCTCCCCGAAGCGGTCGGTACCGATGCACCCGAAGAAGGTAGCCACCTTGTGGGGTTTCTGGATCATCCACTAAAGAAAGAGGAAATAAAAAAAACAGCAGTTACAGTGAGCTCAGTTTACAAAATATAAGTCTGTTTGAAGGGTCAAGTTCAGCTAAGGCAGATGGCATACAAACTGTAGCTTCACAGCAAACATACTGCTTGTGATATATGAGGGCTGTGAGCTGTCGTAAACAACCCAAGACCAATTCCACTCCACATAGAGGCACTATTCTCATCCAAGCACTCCCTCTTCCCTGTGTGCTAAAAACAGTCTCATCTCCTTATTTACACAAACCCCATAATTCAAGGCTCCATCCTACTTATGCAAACACAGACTCTGTGTGTGTGTGTGTGTGTGTGTGTGTGAGTTTGTGTATACCTGCTACCACAGGACACTCCCCAAACTGCTTGTCGGCCATTTTTTGGTCTCGACAGTTCTGATGTACTCAGTGACTTTTACCTGATGAGAGAGGGGGGCTGCTCAAATTCTACAGCGCTCAGGTTTAACCTCCAAAGATTTATTGACGTACAGTACGTGCTGCTGTTTGCTCATTTTATTGCAGCCTCCTGTTTTGTTGCTGACGGGGGCCCCTTGTGAATGAGATGTTGCTGCTTTTGGGGATGACCTGTATATGTGTGAAATTAATCATTTCACACGACCAAATAGCATCTTGGTGGGGGAAGAAAAATGCATTTTCATCACCCATCCAGAGATGCTCTCCCCTGCTTCTTTGTGCTCCCCCCCTCTGGTCTCCAGGTAACTAGTTCAGATGGAAAAATAAATAAATAATCAAATAGAAAACAAAAAAAAAATACCCAGTAAAAAAAAACAATCATTACTTTTAGCAGGAGTCAGGTGTGTTTTCAAATCACGGCTGCCAATTTACAAACACAGCTAATCAGAGAGGGTATTGTGGGGTTTTTCCTGGTAAAAAATCAGGTTGCAAATAATGATTATTTTCCCTATCCATTAATACCTTTGTTTTCGTCATGAAGCCCCCCACCCCCCATCATAATTTTGCATAGCCTAAGGGGATATCTTCAAATTGCATGTTTTGTATGACCAACATGATCCAAACCCCCAAAGTATTGAATTTAGAGTGCTATTAGTTTAGCAGTGCTGCAACCAGCTTTTTGCTTAATAAATTAAAAGCTATCAACCAATTATAATCATAATAACTGTCAACTGATTTTCTGTCAATAGCCTACTCAATTAATTGACTTATATGTTCAGCGCTGGCGCCGGCAAAATGAACAGTAATAATGCCACATATGCCTGCTGTATCTTGGTCCATGAGCGGTTTTACCACGTGTCATCTTGAGTCATGGTTCAGTCATTCAGCTGTGCCCCCTCCCCTCCCCTCCCCACCATCACCCCTCCCCACCTGGCTGAAATACACACAAACATGTACAAACGCACGCGCAAATCCACAGCGAAAGCCGACAGAAGCAGGCTCTTCTTCCCTAACCTCTTGCTGCAGGCACCTCACACTTATCAAGGTCACTGGCTCGGGTACACGTCAAGTCCTATCTGATTTTCCCTTCGCCGTGATGAGCTCCGAATCCAAGGTTAGGAGCTGCGGGCTGTAAATAATGACAGCGCGGCCCTTCCATTTGCAGGCCTCTCAGGTGGGAATAGAGAGGGCCACTCAGGGGCCCCCGTCCCACTGATGACAGCATGGTGAATCACAGTGGTACCACCGACCTCGCAACCATCCCCCCCCCCACCCCCACCCCCATCTGAACTCTCCTACCTCCTCCACCTCCTCTCTCCCTCTCTCTCTGACCGTCGGCTGTACTCTCACTGCCAGCTCAGCTTGTCATTTTACAGGGTCATTAACAGACACACATACACACCAACATGTGCATGAGTACACAGTGCACCCACGCAGGGAAAAGGCGCGCGCGCGCACACACACACGCGCACACACACACACACACACACACACACACACACACACACACACACACACACACACACACACACACACACACACAGAGAGAGAGAGAGAGAAATCCTCTTTAGTGCCACAGCATCAAAACTCCCTCCCTTCCTAAAAAAACCCACCCCTGCTTTTGCCAGAAGCTGCTCTCCTACTCTAATAAACACAAAGCAGCAATAGATAAGAAGAAAATGTCTTCATTATGAGCATGTAAAAAATGTATCTTGCAGGTTTTTTTCTTCCCTCAGTGGTGCACAGGAGCGGGGAGTTATATCAATTCATTTCCATCCCTGGCACCCTGCAGACAATCCCTCTCCATTCCCAGATTATGTGAGATAATACCTCCATTATGACAAAAGCGCTATTCGCGGGGTCGCAGAGAGGTCAACCAACCCTGCGCTGGGTATTCATGCTTAGTCACATCCCAATTATACCGCAGTGGCAGAGGCAGAAATTGGCAAATGTACATCAAGGCGCTTCATTACTGAGGGCCGCTCCAGTGAAATTAAGCAGCAGATGAGACAGAGTGAGATTTGCCCCCAGGCGGCATGTGAGAGAGAGAGAGAGAGAGAGAGAGAGAGAGAGAGAGAGAGAGAGAGAGAGAGAGAGAGAGAGAGAGAGAGAGAGAGAGAGAGGTTGGGAAGAAACAGGGAAGCTGAATTAACAGATTTTTCTGAAGGTGCTGGGAGCTTGTATCATGCACAGCAGCTCATGTATATTTACTTAACTAGGGAGAACACCGGTCCCCAAAGATTAATAAGTTCCCATGATACACCACAGCGAACGATCTCTAGGTACGTTTAGATACGGAAGGGAAACCTAATACAAACAAGCAAGAAAAATATCCCTGAAAAGCAGGGGGTGAGATGCTGCACAGGCGTACTCGCTAAAGGCAAAGTGATGATAAGTATACATTATGTTAACTAGAGAATATGTCTGGCGTCTCTTTCTGTTTGGCTTCCATTTACCAAAATCATCTAACCCCCCCTACCCACCCACCCAACACAGGCCCCAAGGGCCCCAGATAGCTATTAATTATGACATCTCATGGTTGCAAGGAGCCCCACTTGGGGAGCTGACCCAGGCCTGCTCATCAACATCCAGCAGCTGCCACTCTTCACTACGGAGGCAGCCGCTTCGCGTGGCAGCTTCCAGGAGGGCAATTACACAGCCCAGATGAGATGAGGCGGCTGAATGTTTGGGACTTGAGCGCTCAGACTGCCATTAGCACTATAAGCTATTACATTCCCTCTTCTTCTGCTTTTTTTTTTTTGCTCCCCTCCCTCCTTCCGTCTCCTCGCTCACTTGCTGCTGTATATTGATGAAGTGGTAATGGGACCTCTAGTTAGATATTCCTCCTGTAAAAACATTGTCTTGTTTCTAGTCTCCCCCAGGGGTCAATGTATTCTCCCGGAGTTGCTGGGAATCATTTCTGCTCTATTAATGATGCAATTCCAATGCAATTCAGATCTACTGAAGACGCTGCACAGTGGGCTTTTGTGTGGAGTTGATAGATGACGCTGTGTGTTATCCTGCAGCTTGACAACAAAGTGGTGCCTTCTGCACATCACCGGGAAGCTGGTTGGCCGTCACTCCAGTTTCCAGCCTCTCACACTGCTCAGTTCATCCTTAAAACAAGGACAGAGGAGAAGTCTCCATTCTCCTCGCTTCACCTCACCAGCGGGGTCCTCTTGAGAAGAACATGTCCGTGCCTAATGATGGTCACATTAATTATAGGCTTATCAACCCCGGCAAAAATTCAATAGGGCTATTTATAGAGGCCTAAAATAGCAGAGGGTGAGGGTGCTGCGAACCGGGGTGGCCTGTAACAGCCTGCTCTCGCTCCACAGCCTGTCTTTTAGAGCTAGAGGTGGAGGCTGATATCCGTGTTGTTGTTTTTTTTACTGTGCAGTTAAAACAACTAGCAAACATCTGTCCATCAGGACCTGTCATGGTGAGCGCTTTTATATAAAGCACGGTGGAGCGGAGGGCCTTCACCACAAACGCTGACATTGATGAGGTCTGGCAGCTTCCATTAAATCACTCTTTCCTGTAAAGTGCCGGGCATCAAAGCAACCGGCCGAGGATTTTTCACTCAATCAGGTAACACACAAGCCACCACCCCCCGTCACCCCCTCCCCTCACCCTCCTCCCTGTCCTCTCAGGGGCTGGAGCCTTCTGGTCAATAACTCCAATCAGTTCAATTTCATGCACAGTTAGCCATGTTGGGGTGCTAGGGCACTGTTCGCGTCGGGGTTGCATATGTTGTTGTCGCTGTTGTTGTTTTTCTTTAATTTTTTCTCTTCCCTGGGAGGGTTGATAAGTGGGGTGGGGACCTGTACTGTGTAAAAGTGGAGACTAGCCAGGGCTAGCATGGTTGTTTTAACTATGCCTCACCAAAGCGGGCTCCCTGCCAAGCCATTAAAAGTCTCTGTGCTCTGCTTCAGTGACACAGCTAAAAGAATAGAGAGCAGGCGAGGGGGAGAGCTGTAAATGATCAACACGATAATGAGCTGATTATCAGTCAAAGGCATGGATAAGCTCTCTCTCCAGTAATTTCCTTTCAGATCAGTCAACCACATTCTCCTCTCTGCAATCAACACTCAAAGGGGAGGCCTAACATGTAGCCCGATGGGAATCCGGCCCAATATCAGCTTCAAATATCCAGATCCTCGTTGTTTCTGATCAGTTCCTGGCTCGTCCCTCGCTGACACAACAGCGTGGTGGGGAGGCTTGTGTATCACTACTCAAGTCTGCTTTTGTAAGGGTTGTTTCACAGTTGTCGTTCAGCTTTAGGCTCTGGCTGCAGGACAATATAAAACTGACTGATGCTCTAATGATGTTCAAATGTACTGTGCAATCTGCAAGTAGTTGGAGGGTGACTCATTTCCTACTGTTTGGGCTCTACATTAGCTCAGCATTAGATTTTAAATTTAACAACCACTGGGTTAGGTGAAAGCACTGAGTCTCGCCTTTAAGTTCCCATTTAATGGGGACTTTGACTTGAAGAAATCAGTTCAATGATGACCTCATGCACTAGTAGGTGTGAGTCCAGCAAAAGAAGCCATCACAATTTTTTTTTAAC